CCCGGACACCCCTAGGTTTGGGCTGAAAGGGTTGGCCCCAAGAAAAACAAAATGGTTAGGCCCATGAAAAACAAAATGGTTATAAAACATGTTTCTTTTCGAATTCTGCTTTAAAAAACAGAAACAACAAAACAAAAAATGGTCATCAAACACACCCTAGCCCGGACACCCCTAGGTTTGGGCTGAAAGGGTTGGCCCCAAGAAAAACAAAATGGTTAGGCCCATGAAAAACAAAATGGTTATAAAACATGTTTCTTTTCGAATTCTGCTTTAAAAAACAGAAACAACAAAACAAAAAATGGTCATCAAACACACCCTAGATGTGTGAATGTAACCAACAGATTAATGAGTTGGAGTTCTATGCTTCTGGATATGTCGACTGTTAATCTATTTTGCTGATATCATGGCATGAAATCTAGCGTACAATGTTTGATGTTTTCCATTTCTTTGTATTTTAGAGAGGGTACTGACCAGGAAAGATGCACTATGAGAGCTCAGAAAACTTCAGTCAGACGTGGGAGCTTTTTTCACAGGAGTAAGATATTTGGAGACCTTCAGTTGGTAGGCGAGAGAGATTTCTATCTCCAAAGAGTGCATCTCAGGGACATGTTTCTCTTGCTATTATCAATATCCTTACATCAGGCGTACCTATGCTCCTGTTCCACCATTGTGTCAAGATTTTCTGATGCTAACATCATTGCTAGTCAATTTAGACCCAAGACCCCCCTATCATTACTCCATCTATCAACTATTAGCATGGTCACGGTGGTCGTCATGCTGAGCTATGGTTTATCAGAAAGCCCTCAGTTATCTCATCGTTTTATGATGAGGATTTTTTTTGTTTAAATACTGAAGTAAATTGTGTCCAAAATTAACTAAAAGTATCTTAATAAAGTAAATCAATTCCTAACTAAATTAGGCTTTCTTCAATCCTGATTCAAACTACAATTTCTCCAATCCTAAGTAAATTAGAAGGTCTTCTACAATTCTAAGTTTCTAACAAGACAAGGATTTCTTCCAAACAGACGATGCTTTGATTAGTTGCTCTCTCCTCAACTCTCACAATTGCATATTATCCTCAAGGAGATTGACGAGTACTAACATGCTTAATTCTTTTCTTTGACATGTATTCAGGTGGATATGATTGCCATCTCTGGTGTATTTATAGAATACTCATTATAGTAACGTCTCCCAAGTGGTGGAGATGTTTCATTTTCCTTATAACACATGTTTCTTTCTGTTTTTATTTTGGTTTTATGAATTTGTGCTATTTGCTGAGTGGCAGGACAACAACTAAAATGTTTCTTGATCTTTTCATTGTAGACCTTAGCCTGTCATATCTTTAGTTTTTATGTGATAAACTGTTCATGTATTCTGATTTCTGTTAATCAGTTTTATGTACATAGCGTCACCACTTTATACAAAAGCTTATGCCCAAGGTTGGGTTGTGGCTCACAATATGCAATCAGCAAACTTGACGATTAATGGATCATGTGCAATTTCTTCTCTTCTTTTAGGATGTGGAAGCTACAATTCATTGTGCAGAATGGCTATCGGTTGTTGGGGGATCTAGTACAGGAGAACAAAGAATCAGGTATGCGTATGAAGCACCTAGCAGGAACAAACTATGATACATATATCTGATTTATTATTCATAACTTATGATTAAGTTTCTCGTAACGTAGCAGTACTTCTTACATGAAAACTCATACATACAAATGTAGATTGAATTGATTAATGCATGAATACGTGGCTGTTTATTGTTCTGTGGGAATAAACACAAAGTTTGTTTATACCTGCTAATAATAATATCATGGTTCAGTCAAACAGGTGGTTAATGCGATTAAATGCATGCGTACGTAACACTTTATTGTTCTATGGAATAAACACAAACTTTGTTTATACCTGACAATATTATGGATACGATTAAATGCATGCATACGTAGCGCTTTATTGTTCTATGGGAATAAACACAAAGTTTGTTTATACCTGACAATGTTATGGATCAGTTGAACAGGTGGTTAATACATAATACCTTTCCTCTTCATCTAACATCGTCATGTATGTGGGTGAAAATTTATGCTTTCTTTTGTAAACTATTCCCTCTATTCGAACTGTTCCATCTGGGTCAAACTGTTGCTTCCTTTTGTTTATGAGAAAAAGCTTTGTTTGGGAACCATTAGTGAATCGCCTAAAAGCTTAGAAAAATTTATAATTTTTTGCCCTTGTGTTCTATGAAGTTTGTATCAAGTTGAATGGTGTTTCACTCATTTGGTTTGTGTGTCTTACAGTTTAGAAGGTGGAACTATATTTCGTCTGTTCCTTCGAATAATAAAGGGTTATCATGTGCATGTGTGCTTGACGCATTACTATGGATTTTCCAAAAAAAAAAGCACTTGAAACAATGTATCAATTTGCTAATTTGATATGCATTCTTGATATTTAATTATTTTTCATCAGTTTCTTTATTTAAAATTCCAATTTGTTTCTTGTCCTTTCAATATGAAGACGTGAAGAATCCTTACCTCTTTTCAAGAGAAGACTCCTAAGTGGTTTGCTAGATTTTGCTTCCAGGGAGCTTCAGGTTCAGGTAATCTGATTTCTGAACTTAAGATATCATGTTAAGCATGTCTAGCATACTGGGCTTTTCTTTCCATTATTCTGTAGTAATTTCTCTTCCATCTTTCACTTTAATTGAAGAGTATATAATTTTAACCAAAGAACTTTATTCGTACCCTGTCATTGTTGGTCGACTCGGTCCATGAGGTGCTATTGACTACCCTTATATATTTGAACTAATTAAAATCCTCTGGGAGTCTGGGACATGATTTCTCTAGCTATTGATAGGACTTTAGGACTATTGTTAGCTCATCTGTGTAGGCCTGGATTTGGAATGTGGACTTAGACAGTAAAAAAAGATATTATTGCTAAGGTAACGGAAATATTATGGAGAGTCATGTCGTTTTTGTATCCCCAATGTCTGATGATATTCTATTTAAAATTTCCAAAACAAGGTTAAGAATGGTATTTCCATAGTATTCATAAGTCAACTAGTCCAACATACCTATTCATATATTTACTATAGTGGCTTTATCTCACTACCACCATACCACCAAATTCAGCTGTCTTAAGAAAATTGGAACACACAAATTGTACTTTATTTTTGTCCTCTTTATAACTAAACCACAATCTTAACCATTGGTCAGTTGTTTTCTAACTAGCTTACTTATCATATGCTCACAACAGCTGTCCGACTTCTGTTTATGTCATTAGAAACAACACACTTTTGTTTGCCGCCATGTTCAAGCTGCAATGTATCTTGGGTATACCAATATATTTATCACTAACTGATTTGTCAATATTTCTTAAAGGTAATGCAAAGGCGTTTTACTTTTTCCATATTTGTCAAAAGTCACAATTTATATATGTCCTCTATTTTAGGCCAACATATCTTAAGTTCTTAGTAGTTTGATTTTGTTAAAAATAATAGTGAGCTTTCTGTTTTTCATAATAATTGTTATAGAATGTTTTCTTCTGCTTGAAAACCATTGTAATGCCATCTTTCTTATGTACCAGACTCAAATTATTGCAGCAGTAGCTGCTGGCGTTGCTGCTGAGGGTTTGTCACCACAGGAAGCTAAAGCAGGAGCAGAAAACGCTGCACAGCTTTCTGTGGCTCTAGCCGAAAATTCAATTGTGATTTTAATGCTTGTAGAAGATCATCTGAGATCACGTGGACAGCTATTTTGTTCGTCATGCTCAGCAAATGGTATTGGTATTGGATCTTCTGCTTCATCAACTTCTTCGGCTATTAGTCGCTCCAATTCTTTAGGAAAGATGGATGGTTATTCTTTGGATGGTATAGGCTCCAAGAGGTCATCAATATCTAGTGCTACTGGAGGGCTTCCATTAGATGTACGTTTACTGGTCATTTTTGTGTTTTCTGTCGATAATAGTATTCTGATTGCGCCTGATTTTTGAATTCAACAATTTCTGTTTTGCTTTTTCATGTAAGATGGTAAGTTACCTTTGCCACAATTTTAATTCGATTAAATTATATAATTCTGTGAAACAACTTTGGACCTTTTAATATGGAGACAATGGATGAATTTCTTAAATTTGTTGATACATGAGTGCTTATCCTAACTACCTTGTTCTGTCTGAATTATGATGAAAGTTTCTAAATCGCCATATATGTTTTAACTCGTGATGAATTAAGGTCTTTTTTTTTTTTTGGGGGGGGGGGGGGGTTTGGAGTTATGAAGGTTTATGGTATGGAATTATGAACCTCAAATCTCTTCCATTGTGAAAGTACATATCATGTCATGTGAGATGATGCTGAATGCTGTATCATTTATACCTTAGTTCCTCCAAAAACTGCCACCCTTATTGGGTGCCTGACAGAATCCAACGCATCTTGTTGTTCGCTTGGTTTATACTCCAATAATTCTCTTTACACATGAGAAAACGACTTTCTATTTCGTTATTGATACGCTTACTCCTACTGAGTGATTATCTATGATATGTAATATGCATACTGTGGCTGTTATCCCATAGGAATTATTTGTCACATAGTGGAAAAATTGTATATCACTTAGCAACTACTTCATGTACCCTTTTTTTAATAATACTAGGTGGAATGCACGTGCACTGCACGTGATCAATATCATAATTATTTACTTTAAGTTTATTTATTTACTATAACACGGTTGCATAAAACTTTATAATTATCATGATATATTAAACTTTTTTGGATATTTCCATGTGTGGTTTTAATATTTTGTGGTTTTAACATTGTCTTCCAGAGAAATAGTGATGTTTAAAGTCTTAAAATATTAATGATTTAAGATTAATTAATAATTTGAATGTATAATTACAAAATATTAATGATGTAAGGGACCAATAAGGAAAAAACCTATTATTATTAATGAAAAAATAAATTCTTGAATTCATCACAGAAAAATGATGGGTTTTATTTAGTCATTAACACTGTTTTAAAAAATCTCCGCCTAGTCCGCTTAGGCATACGTCTAGGCCTAGACGGTACCTAGGCCGCCTAACTAGCGCCTAGCGTCTAGGCGGTATTTAGGCTGCCCACCTAGATTTTACGAGCGTTTAGGGGAGCATTGTCTGCTTACGTGGATTGCACCCTGTAGGCCTTGATTGTGATTTTATGTGTCGTAGCCTACACGTCCTTCAAACTCCATTAACCTCCAAATATGAACACATTCACTACCTCCTCCGACGGTCCGACCTTCAGCAAAACCTCATCGATCACCACTTAAATGAAGAAAGAAAAAAAACGCCCAGAAACCGCTTAGGCGCCCGCCTAGGCGACTAAGCGCTGGGCGCCAAGTCCGACGCCTAGAAGCGCCCAACGTTTAATGTAACATTGGTCATTAAGGATTTCGTTCAGTTATAAAAAAATCACTTCCATATGTTGTTTACTTCCACCTATTATTTATCCGGTGATCGAGTATTATAGATATTCAAGAACTTTTTTCTAGAATTTTCTAAGTTACAATGTGCAAATTCAATTAAGAAAGAAAATATAAATTGTATGATTAATTCCAAAATCTGATGTTGTACTCTTTTTACATCTTCCAACCTACTAATTGATCTATCAAAACGATTACTCTCTACTTTCAGAAAATCATAAAATATAGTTTGAGAATGATTTATACATATTATGCACTCATATTGATTGTATTTTAACAAAATAATTCATATCTATCCAATGTCAAACAACATCCAAATATTTAGCTTAAGGACTTAAAAGAATACAATATCTGCAATAATATTCATATCCAAGCTATGAGCTTCATACACTTATAAGAAGGTGAGCAATATAAAATGACAACTTAATTTATTTTATCAAATAATTTATTACACATCATGAAAGATAAGGGGAATCAGAAAGATCATATACCCATTCCAAATTAATAGTAAATTTCTCTTAGAGATTATTATAGCAAATGATTTTCCGAGTTGATGTGTAGGATAAACTTAAAGACAAATAACCTAAACCAGTTCATTGAGTAATAGACTTGCTATAAACTCCACTCTTATAAAATTGATGTCACATGTGCTTTAAGTTGTGCTTTTGTTTAAGGGTTAATTCTAGAAAACTCCCCCTCAATTATGGGGGCATGTCAATCCCCCATTTCTCACCCCCCCCCCCCCCCCCCCCAAAAAAAAAAAAAAAAACTATTTAAAACTAAGTAAATCTCTACCAAGTTTTGAGTGTTTTGTAGGTAATCTATCCCAACTTATAAAAATTGATTTAACCCATGTGGACTTTTCTAACTTGAATCTAGCCTCTCAAAACTAATATCATTGAGTCTTATCTATTATGTGATAAATATTTGACTTGAAAAGACCAAAATATCAATCAATCATAAAAGAATTACCTTGGTTTTTGCCATATGAAGAAAAAATATGATATAGAGGGAAAAAAATTGTAAATTGGTGGTGACCCTTTTATTATCGGTTTAAGGATTTATTTTTAATTAAAATCACTTTCTTCAAGAGGCTATTTTGTTCAAATCACAAATTGAAGTAACTATGTAAGAAGCTTTGGTGATAGAACTGTAAAAGATTATGAGAGTTTATGAGACACACTATAGTTGAGAGGTGTTTTCTAAAATTGTCCCGAAATTGAGAGGGATTATCTATAACACCCCACATAATAAGGGGGTTTTGTCAAACTGAATCAAGTGAGTGGGGTTTTTAAGACAATTTCTATAGTTGGGAGAGTTTTTAAAAAATTAATTCTTTTAAATATGGTAATTTATAATTTGTCCCTCAAAATTTTAATAATTTAATATTAGTCCCTAAAATTATGAGCAATTTCAAAAATTTTAGGGAATAACATAGAATCATTGGATATTTAAAATCAAGAAACTAATATCTAAATAACCTTTACATATTTGTTCTTATAGGCATTCTATTAAATATGGGCTAATATATTGCTATATTGGCCAATATATTGGGTTAAAGACTTTATCCCGGTAATATTTTTATATTGTTTTCTTTTTTTTGGTGATTTTTTTGATATATTGACCGTTATTGAAAATATGACCGATATATCCCTTTGAAGATATCGAGAAAATCATGTTATTTTTAATTTGATTGTGGGCTCAAGTTCGGATTGTGTTTGGAAATAAAATCGGAACCGAAAAAACCCACAAAGGCCACAGTTCTTCTCCTAAATCTCTCCACTCTCAGCTCTCCCAAATCTTATGTATATGCCTTGATGCAAATTCTTATGTTTAAAATCTATTAATATGTTATATTATATATTAGAATGTCATGTTACGTATGAATATTATCTCATATGACACAGTATTACATACATATCCCTGATTTTTGCAATCCGATATCATGGATTTTATTTGTTCAATATTTATTTGATGTCCAATATTTTGTAGTAGTCATTCAAAAGTCTCTTCTAAAGTATTCTAAGCGAAGTATATACTTTCATGAAATAATTCAAAATATTGAGACTCATCCAAAATATGATGTTTTAATTTTTCCACATCTCTACTATATAATATAAACTAAGCATCTGGCCTCATATTGTGTGATGAATATTGTTTATCAATGGGATCATATACTACTATTTGTGGATAGCAAAGGTTTTAAATTTTTTATAGGCTTAACTGAACTTAATTACCTTATAGTTTACCAAAATTATACTTATATACCTCCACTTGTATCTTGCTGCACTTTTTTTTTTAATTTTAGATAACGTATCTTGCTGCACTTAAATATCCTAATGTTTTCTAAAATTTAATGTTTGTACCTTCTGTTCTGTTACCCAAACATAAAAATGCTCTTTGTAATTTTCCTATATGAGTTTCATGATATAATTTTAGGACAATTTTATATTTTCTACTCTTTCTATAAATACTTTATTGACATGCAATTATCTATTAATGTGATGTATATTTTTGCAATAACGTTGGAAGTTATAGGGACCAAATTATACAAACTTAAAGTGACATATAATATAATTAATTAACAATGATAATTAATTTAGTTTAGTTAGTATTAGAATGTAATATAAAAAAAGAATAGGGGTCATATAGTCATTGAAAAGTTTTTCCACTACTCCCTCTTTTAAAGGGATAATGAAATATTCATGTTTGGAAAGATACATATCTATATGTGATTGCGCGTGCACGCTAATGCAGATGATAGATGCATTTATATATTTTCGACCAGCAGGCAGTTACTAAGTTTGGTGTTTGCTTCCATACAATTCTTTTTTTTGTAAAAGTAGGCTTTAATTACCACATTTGGATCTGTTTTCAACTTGAGACATGCTTTCAGAAGGATACTGCATTTCTTCTGAGGCATGTAGAAGAAAATCCAGTTTTATGATTTGTCTGTTTGTCTTTTTACATGCAATGGATTCGTCACATGTTTCTCATGTGTCTATTGATTTCGAGGATCTATTCAGACCAAATTAAGTGATCAAGAGTAGTATTGGCACTGTTCACTCGAGTTATGAACTTAAACGATAATTCACTGATGTATTCGAACATATAAATCATCTTAGTTTATTTTAGAGATTATTACTTGTAGGATTGACCGGTTTGTGGAAGAAGCTCTTTCTTAAACTGCAATCATCTGTGTTGGCATGCGATTCGGTTTTCTATAATTGTAACAACATCAGCAGGACCCATCTTGTCAATTTCATCTTGATATTTGCCTTCGAATTGCATTTAATCCCAATATGTTCATGGCATGTTCCTTAATATTGTTTTGAATAATATACTCCCACAGATCATTGATGTTTTTATGTTCAGCGGATGATCCTGTTTCCATATAATTATTGCGTTTATTACCATTTTGTCTTTATCAGGTTCTAGCTTCTATGGCTGATGCAAATGGCCAAATTTCTGCAGCTGTTATGGAGCGTCTTACCGCAGCTGCTGCAGCTGAGCCTTATGAGTCTGTACGGTGTGCATTTGTATCTTATGGCAGCTACATTTTAGATCTATCTGAGGGTTGGAAGCACAGGAGCAGGATGTGGTATGGTGTTGGTCTTCCTCCTAAGAAGGCTGATTTTGGTGGTGGTGGCAGTGGCTGGGAAGTCTGGAATTCTACTTTGGAAAAGGATTCTAATGGTAACTGGATAGAACTTCCTCTAGTGAAGAAGTCAGTTACCATGCTCCAGGCACTTCTATTAGATGAATATGGACTTGGGGGCTGTCTCAGTATTGGAGGTGGGTCAGGCTCTGGAATGGGGGGGATGACAGCACTTTATCAGTTGTTGGACAGTGATCAGCCTTTTCTTTGCATGCTCCGGATGGTCCTTGCTTCAATGAGAGAGGATGACAATGGAGAAGATAACATATTAATGAGGAATATAAGCATAAAGGAGGGCATATCAGAAGGTTTAAGTAAGCGAAGTTGGAATATGATGTCTACTGATAATAATACTTTGCCAGCAAGGAAATCTAATGCAGGCCTTCTTTGGAGGTATCATTCTTTAATGCACATATTCTCAATCAACAGTTTGACAACATACATGTTATCCCTATTTGATAGTTACACAAATGAGTTGTCCGTTACAGTTTTTTCATTCGTCCTTTGATTATTCTTATCCCTTGAACTAATTCTTCAACTCACTTCTTCAAAGTAGACTGTTCGGCAGCTGACCTCTCCAAATGTTCTTATCTTTCTAACTCAGCATAAGCAGTTTACCCGTCAAATGGTTGCTCCCTGTCTTCTGTATGTGCAGCTGACCTGTCCACGTGCACTTGTTTTCTAATGTTTGTAACTTTTTAACTCAGAGTAGGCAGTTTACCTGTAAAATGGTTGCTCCTTATCTCATGTATTTCTAACTCAGGTCACTGTTTTCTCTGTGCTGCATGGAAAACCATGTATCTCTCCCAGTTGATTTGAATAAAAAAAATTCATATTGGGATGGCACTTTCATAGCCTAGTGGGAGTGAATGTTCACTTTCTTGCCCTAGGAAGAACAATGACAACTTCTAGTCAACAGTATTACGTAAAAAAATGTATCTTCTTATTTTGCAGAACCAAATTATCTACTAAGGAATATTAGGCTTTGATATGTCTAGAGAAAATAGAAAGGCCAAAGATTATTATTCAGCTAACCCTATCCTCTCTCAAATAGAGATTATGAGATATCACAAAATAGGTATGAGATAAAATCATATCGAATCACATCCCATAATATCTTAATAATATCTCATACTGTCTACTAAATCTATTTATACCAAATCATCAATAATATCTAGCACTTCCTGCAAGCTAGAGTATATATACTATATACGTCCAGCTTGTTACAAATAGAAATAAAAGTTGCAAGAGCTTTAGTAATGTCTTTGCTTGAAATAATTGAAGACGCCAGTAGTCAGAAAGCCATAATCACAGGCAATAGAAACTGTAGGCAGGTAAGCTAGTAGTAAACCTAGTAGGCGAGTAAGCCAGTAGAAACCCTAGGCGGGTAAATCAGTGGAGAACCTAGGTGGGTAAGCTAGAAATCCTAGGCGGATAGCCAGTGGAAACAATGTCAAAAGAGAATTGCCATCGTTGTATATAACTACCTATGATGCTGAAGTTGTTGAAGTCGTCGATGCCATCGAAGGCGCCAAGGGGAGCATGAAGGCCATGCAAAACGCCTCAATGGCCTTGAGATCTAGAAAGATCGGAGAAATTGCTAGGATCGAGTAGTCCCTGATACCATTTAGAGAAAATAGAAAATACATAATATTATTATTCATCTAACACTAATCTCTATTAAATAAAGATTAGGAGGATATTACAGAATGAGCATGAGATGAAATCATATCTAATCACAATTCACAATATCTCAGTAATATCTACTAAATCTATTAATACCAAATCATCAATAGTATCTAACAATATGAATTTGCATTTTGGGGTTTTAAAAGGTGTAATTGAAGAAAAGCAGTGAGTCAATATAAAGATTTGTGGTTTAACCATGTTTTTTAAGATATAATTGGCTGTGGAATAGGGGTCAAAGGTATCGTAAAGTATACACCATTTCTTAATTGAAGGTCCCTTTCCCCTTTGGTGGGATTTCAACTAGGTGTTATTTAAGAAATTGAGTAAATGAATAAAGAGAGAAGTATATGAATGAAAGAAGATTAGAAAGCATAGGAAGCACATCTTTCCCAGGCAAATTGAGTATTTCATTGATACTGAAAATTAGGTACATTTAATTTGTTTTAACCCAATATGAAATATTGTTTTGAGTCAACATAGGTTGGCTAATGGAGATGATCTAGCCTTTGTTAAAATTTTAAAAAATGGGTTCTAAGTAGGTACCTAACATTAATGACCTACAAAGTATAATATTAAAATAAAGCAACAGTTCATTGGAGATCTCTCATATATTGGCCAAATATCATTTAGGTCCTTAAGTTTAAAAGTCATCAGTGAAAGACCTTGACGTTTCTTCCATATCTAGGTCCTATTTAAGATTTTTTTCATTAAATTACTGACTTGTCAATGATGTAAAAGGAAAAACGTATAATTTCATTACTTTTTGCTGACGAAACACCATTCTCTCTTTTTGCTAATCGATTTGGGAGAAGAGATGTTTTCTGGGTTAGTAAACAAGTAAGATATGTGATACTGAGACAGTATGAGTGTGAGGGATGAAAGGGAAATACGAGAAAATGGCGATAGAATGTCGATCACTCTAAGGATACATGACACTATCACCTTAGAACAATTGACGGTAGTTGTGGGGTTAGCCTACTACTCTAGAGATACAGATACACCACTCTAGAGAAATATGACAGTCACCCCTCTAAGGACCCGTCTTTGGGGGTATAGAAGAGCACAATCTCATGATAGTGAAGTTCAGAAATATGAGAAGCATCATCAGTCTTGTGACAAGGCACATAGTGCACCATCGTAGAAAATCTATTGACCACAACCATGATTGCATCTTTCTGTTGTTGCTTCTTGGGCAAACTAATGACAAAGTCCATACTTCTTCCTATGATGCTTGAGGAATTAGCAATGGCATATAAAGTCTTGGACCTCCAGATTTGGCGATGTGACATGTACGACATTTATGGATGTGCAACATAACATCAACCTTATTTTTTAGTCAATAGAAATTTTCCTTGGTAAGGGTGAAAGTCTTGTCCCTTTCGAAGTGTCCAGCGAGTCCATCATCATGAGCTTCAAAGATAATAGTTTGACGCAATGAGAAATGAGATAAACACAGCTGATTGCCTTTGAACAAGAACCCTTTGAACAAGAACCCTTCATGACGATGAAATAGTCTATGTGGGTGCTTTCTTGTAAGCTTCTAGATATCTCCAAAATTTGGATCTTCTTCATACAAGTCTTCGACAACATCGGAACCAGTAACTTTCAATTGCATAGTAGACAAGAGAGCATGTCGACAACTTAAAGCCTCTGTTACATGATTTAGTGTGTCGGATTTTTGCTTTAATAAAAATGGAAAAGATTGAATGAACTCCAAGAAGCATGTTGTTGATTGCATTTTTGTTGTGAGTTTAAATGTTTGAGTGCCTTGTGTTCAGAGTGGAGAACAAATCCCTTGGCTAGCACGTAATAACCCTAATAGTCCAAGGCATATAAATTGCATAACATTCTTTATCACATGTGGAGTACTTGAGATTCACATCATTAAAATTTTCACTAAAAGAGGTTATTAGTCGTCCTTCTTGGTAAAGTACGAAACCAATTTCTACATTAGATGCATTACAATCGACATAGAACAAAAGTCAAAAGTTTGGAAGAGCACTTCAATAATCTTTTCTTCTAGCAACTCAAAGCTTCTTTGCGCCTTGTCCACCCGTATGAAGTACTCACCTTTCATGCTTTTAGTGATTGCGGCTGAAATAGAACTGAATTTTTTTATGAATCTTTTATAAAAAGATGCGAGACTATGAAAATTTTGAACCTCATGCAGAGTCTTTGGTGTTGGTCACTTTTGTAATGGCTTCAATTTTACTAGGATTCATCTTATGCATTTACCTAATACTAGCCCAAGAAAATAATTTTATTAGTAAGAAAGTGGCACTTCTGCAAATTAGCAAAGAGCTTTTGCTCTCTCGAGGTTTTAAATACTTACTATAGATGTAATAGGCGATTCTCTTTACTTTTGCTATAAACAAGATATCATCAAAATGAACAATAAATTGTCTAATGAATGGCATGAAGACTTGATTCATGAGGGACAAATGTACTTGGGGCATTAGAGAGGCCAAATGGCATGATCGTCCACTCATAGGGTGTGTTTGACAACCATTCCAAAATTGGGCTAGGACTAATTCTGGCCTGTTTTAAAACAAATTTTTTTTTGTTTTGGACCAAGAGGGAGATGCTGTAAAACAAGACGTGTTTAAAGGCCAAATGTGGCCATAGAAAAACTAGGCTAATCTTGGTCTGGTTTTACCCAAACATGTTTTCTTCTCAAAATGAGGCCTGGTTTGAACCTGGCCCTATTTTGGATAGTTGCCAGACACGCCCGTGGAGTTCATCACGATTCTTAAATGCAGCCTTCCATTCATCTCTAGGATGTATTCAAATTTGATGGTATCCACTTTAGATATTGACTTTGAGAAAAACAGAAGCTCTATATAGTTGGTCCAATAAATCATCTAATCGTGAAATTAGAAAGCAATTTGATGGTAATCTTATTCACAGCATGACTCCTGATCACATTCTCCATGATCCATACTTTGGAACAAGCAATGCTAGAATGACAAATGGACTGACACTTTCTCTAATCAAGCTTTGACTATAAGCTCTTTCACTTAGCATTGGAGCTCATGTTTTGGTGGATTCATGCGATAATGATGCGGAGGACATTGCTAATGCATTTTAGGAGAATTCGCATCTGCGAAGCTCGGATGATCTAGGAAAAGAGGATGATTTTTGGCCAAATTTTGACGTGCAACTTCGATGGACCATAACTTTTGATTCACTCTGTAGAATCGTTATTATTATATGTTTTCAGAACGCTCGGGAAGTGCTCTCCAAGTCGAACAACTTTGCCTTTCTAATCAAGTTTTGGGGTCAAAGAAATTCGTCTTCAGTATCAAATTGCGTGTCGAAGAGTTTTGGTTTAATTTAGTTTCTAGTTTTTATGGAATATTTTTTTTATTTTAGCAAGTTGTTTTAGGAAATGTTATTTTAGTAGTTTTGTTTTGTTATACACCCTATATAAGGGGACTGAATTTATGAACTCTTTATATTGATTATTATTAATTTCAGAAGCTTTCAATTCCTAAGGTTTCTAGTGTTTGTGCCGTTTTGCTCGTACAAGAACGAGTATTTATCTCTTTTGATTACGCTTCTACTATATCAGTTGGTATTCAGAGACAAACTGTTTCCTGCTATGGCCACCAATAGTAATGAAATTGATCACCCTTCCCTGATCTTGCACAACGAGTTGATGCCCTAGATCGATGTGTTGAAATCATCACGACGATGAGGAACTT